TTTAAGTTTTTAAAACCAAATATTGTACTGAAGTTTTTCTATTTACGAAATTTTATGTTGCAATAAAAAAATATACTGCCTTATACAGAGTGTCTAAAAATTTATTTTTAAAAAATACTAGCTTTAAACGGCAATGAGGTCTAAATTATAAGTAAATGCATTTTGTACGAAAACTTGATGAAATAGGTAAAAACTATATGATACAATTTGATAGAAAATTAAATTGTGCATCTGACTCTCGTATAGTATACAAGATGTTCCATTTAAATTAAACAAGTTATTACCGTTTAAATCTAGTAATTATTTAACATAATTTTTTAGACACTCTGTATAAGGTAGTGTAATTTTTATTTAAAAGGGTAAACATTAAATACACCCTTGTATTAACCTTATTTTTGTCGTTAATTTTAATTAGTAGATAAAAAATAATTACTCAAAAAGTTTACCAATAGAATTTTAAGGAAGCATTTTATTTAACAGCCCATAAACAACTTATTAAACGCGGACATAAGGTTTTCCTTTTACACTTAATTTTGTTGATAGCTTTAATTATCGTTTTAATGATACATAAACCACGGAATTAATTACTTAATATCATACTTACCTATGTAATTAATAAAGTGACAATGTGATTTTTTCTGTATAAACGAATTAATTATATATAGAAAATGGTATGTTCCTGTGTTTTTTTAAATGGAAGGGCAAAACTCCCACTGCAAAAAGTTTATTTTACAGAAAATTGACCCATATGAAAGTTGTTCATAATAAAGGGACAAGCAACTTTTCCTCATGAATTTTTTTTGTAGCTTTTTCTTGTAGCAGTTCATGAACAAATTAGGGTAGTTTTCAATGTTACTCTTTTTTCAGCAAATTCACCCTAGGAAACTCGTTCAAAATAAGACTACATATACCTTGGCCTTATGAGCTTTTTTTGTAACTTGACTATTTTTGAAGATAGCGCCTAGATCATGAACAAGTGGTGGTAGCTTGAAATGTTTTTTTTTAAATCAAATATTAAAAAAATCATAATATTCATTCACTTGATGAATTCCATGTTTCGTTTTGGGGAAATAAATACATATCATAGGGAAGTTTGCATTTAATTTTAATATGGACACCTTTAAGTTGGTAAATTTGTAGAACGAAACAAAAATTATGAAACTACCCTAATTTGTTCATGAACTGGACGCTATCTCCAAACATAATCAAGCTACAAAAAAATTCATGAGGAAAAGTTGCTTGTCCATTTATTATGAACAACTTTCATACGGGTCAATTTGCTGTAAAACATCCTTATTGCTCAAAAACCACAAGGGGAAAATTTCCAATTTTGTTAATTTTACACTCAGAAGACAGTCGCTGACAAACTCTGAAAAAATTAATTAATTCTTTTCTTCAAATGACAATTTTATTGAAATATACTTTCCAAAAGTCAAAAACAAATATGAAAAAAAAACCTCTGTATGAAGCGTTCTTTCAACAGATCCGTATAATGAACGATAACTCTTTGATGCGCCTTTTTAATGATACATAATTTGACGTACTATTTCCTTGTCTAAACAAAAATCCATTTATTATTCCGCATTCTGTATTGGTAACGATTTCCTTCCATCAACATCACGTTCTAATTTTATTAACACTCGACCTAAGTTAGGCTTGTCAGAATTTCTTGTACCTACAACCATTTACAGTGATTGATGGTTTTAAAACAACTATTAAATCTTTAACCCCACAACAACTGAGACGTTTTCACCAGTAACAAATATAAAATTATATTTTTCCATAACAACTGTTAAAATTGCATTATATCTATCAAAGATAGTAAGATAAAATGGTATTTTAACCACAAGGGCTTAGATTAAATGATAACAGCGAGGATAGGTTAAAACTTTTATTTCTTCTCGCACGTTTTTTTAATTGCTTCCATTTTGAAAATTTTGTATTCCTTTTCATAAGTTATTCGAGTTTAAATGGAAGTAGTTTGGATATGTCTTTTGTCGCCTCATTTCTGAATATCTGTTGTGCACTGGCTAGATCTTCGAGCCATTTCTGGCTCAATTCAATCAGCAATCGACACGAAGAGAATTAAAAATATTGACCCAAAGCTGACAACTAAAGAGAAGAGACAGCTTTATTTATTTGTCAAAATTACATAGAAACCAACGCCAACCCAGCACAATATTTTTTCACTGTAATAAATTCCTTGAAATAATAATTTCTGAATATTTTTTTAAAACTCGCTATGGAAAAAAAGTTTTTTTTTTTTTTTTAAAATACCATTTTATTATCGTCTTGTATAAAAAATGACTATTTTTCTGGTATGTTGTGGTTAGATTTTTATCCTGGTATGAAAAAAGCCATACAAGGAATCCCAATATTTTGTGGACATAGAACTACTACTTGTTTCTGGAATCAAAATAAGTTAATTAAGCCTAATCTACCTCTATACAGGGCATTAAACACATTGTTTCAGATATTTTTAAGGAACGATGTTCCGATTTGAATGACATTTGGGGTGCCTATGTTTGCTAAGCGCTTAACATTTGACTTTTTACAAAAGTACAGGGAAGGGTGAAAAGTACAGCCACCCCTACATAAGTTTTAGTAGGAATATTTTTAACTCCTTCGACGACTGATTTTTTTTTTTTTTTTTTTTTTTTTTTTTTTTTTTTTTTTTTTTTCACAAATTTTGAGTCATTAAAAAAGTGGTACAATTTTTAAAAGTAAGTATAAGAAATAAGGGTGCCACTTTATCAGGGATAATGTCACTTCATTAAATAATGCCATTTTATCTAAAGAAGAAAACGATGAATTTAATATATACTACCAGTGTCAATCCATATGATACCTGGATACTTGAAACAGACATTATAAAGGAAACTGCAAGATCGCACCATACTCAATGGAACGAAATATGCTGGGAATAACAAAAAAATCGTAAAAGGAGTAGAGTGGATACGACAAAGACTCAGGTAATAGATGTCATCCACAAATCAAATCCCTCAAAGTGGCTTAATAGGCAGGACACCCTGGCAAGAAGGACGGAAATACCTAGATGGACCACAAAAATTACAGCATAGTATCCACGAGGAACTAAGAAACACAGAAAAAGACCAAACCTATGAGATGCCATGATATATTAGGAAATTAGCAGAGGATAACTTGGGACCGCAAAACAAAAAATACTCTGATTAAACATACACAAATATTTATGTATGTTTATACTATCTATAAATAGTAGATTCCTTTTTATTATAACGCAAATATCATAAAACTACAATTATCACTATCTGAATATATGAATTATTACCAACTTAAAACTGTAATAAACATTATCCTAAATTATGATAATTTCAGCTATAATGACGATAGGTCTATTACTAATTTTTCAAACGTTATTAATATTTTAAATAAATTTAAAACTATTTACAACCGTATTTTGTTGCAACATTTGTGTAATTATTATGAAACTTGATTACGAAATTGTCACTTGTAAAAAAATGTATGTAGGTATAACACTTTTGATAAAATTAATGACTATATTTATTAAAAAAAACTGCTTACCATTTCCGATTGTGAAATTTTGGTAGTATTATTTATGTTGAATATGGATGTTGTAATAATTATTTTAATATTTTGTTGGCTGTTTTACTAATTAACTTGTCAATTTAATTAAACAACAACATTCCAAAATTGTGTCCGTTTATTTTGTTTTGTGTAATATTTATTCAGATTTTTTCTTAAAAATTTATTGGGCATTTATAAATGGGTTTGTTCAAAATTTAGAATAAATTAGTATAAGTTGAATTTGTTTATTTTTGTTAGATTATACATATTAATTATTTTTTTCTGAGTTTTTGATATATAAATAAAAATAAAGGAGAAAGAAAAAACTAATGATTAAAAATACAAATAGAAAAAAAAATTAACTACTAATCATTAAACAAAATTATTTCTATAAGAAATTAAATGGCCAGCTCAAAAAATATTTTTTTTTTTATAAAATACATATTCTTAAAAATAAAGACCAAAGACTTCATAAAATGTCATTAAAGGAATAATTAGTCCTTAAATGTTATAAAAAGTATTATTTAAGTCCGATATAATTTTGTAATGCTCCAACTTTACCAATATTAAGTCAAGATAAAAAATAATAGAAACACAGTAAATAATTTTGTATTAAGCATTAGCATAAGCATTAAATATGCATCTTTATTTTATTATATACAATTATGGGTATGTTATCTAAATTTGGTCATATTTTTATCACGTATTTATAAAATTTATTCATAATTAATAGCTGACTATGTACGTTAAATTATTTTTAAAAAGCTCATAATATTTTTAGACATTTTAAAATAGGTACCCACTTTAACAAAAAATAATAATATATAAACTTAGAAAGAAAAAGTACCCAGCTGATTTCGAGTTCAGGTACTCATCAGTAATTTTCTTATTCATAAAGAATCAAATATACTACAGAGAAAAATAAATTGTAATAAACCACATAATTAATTGTGAAAACACTAAAATGGTACTAGGCATCACGTTGTAGCTTTTATTTCTACCAATTTGTAGATCTCCATAATAGCTAGATGTGCTTGATTTTATACGAAATATAGCTAATAAGGGTATGAAATTTGATAATTCTCTAATTTGTGTCAGAGAATATTCAGATTGTACTCAATGAAATTTATATGAAAATCTGGTATTTTAAAATTATTGCATATAACTATATTTTTACACATTTGTTGTAAAATTAGGTACTATTGGCTTTAAGGTTTGGTAAGAATAAATACAACAATTATTGTATGTCAAACGTTTATAAAAATCTATGTACAATGTTGTATTTTTTACTTTTGCATATGTTTTTTTTCTGTACATAAAATTCTTAAGAAGAAAGTTTGCACACAGTAAGACACTTAAGATTATTATTATACTATATCATAATATTAAAGACTCAAATTTCTTTCTAAATCTACAAACTTTGAGGTACTTACTTTGTCCAAGGTGTACTCGCTTCATCCAGGGATAAATCTGCGGAGGATTACTCGACGAACTCCCACCTTTCGAGTTATTGTTGTTCGTGCTTGCCTTCTGTTCATTACTCGAAGTCGAACTCGTACTCGAAGCCGGCGAGGACAAATTCTGAGACGCAGTAGACGAAGCAGCCCCTGCCTTCCCCTGAGGCGAAGTACTCACCGACAACGGCGACGTCAACCCCGAACTCTTCGAAGTTATCGTCGCGTTCGAGTTATTACTCGCCTGAGCACCTGCCAGAGGCGGAGTACTCCTCGCCGGAGGCGCGTTAGTGCTCAAATCCTGAGGACTCGCCACTCCGGTAGATGATGTCGAGTCAGCGTATTTACAACTAGCCGCAGCGCTGAGCATTCCTGGACTTTGTCCTCCTGGACTCGCATGGTGCATGGCGGTAGCTCCGGGTATTCTCTGAGGTTGGAGCTGAGTATAGTCTCCCATTGGTTGAAGTCCGTGTCCTGGAGCAGGGGTTGCGTACGGGTGAGGTGTGTATCCTTGAGGACCTACTTGGGGAGGCGAGTAACATGTTGGAGGATAGCTAGCCGCTGCTGCTGCGTTGGGGTTGTAATAATCAGCTCCAGGAGAGGCTGCTTGATGTGCGTGATCTCCTGCACGACCCTGTTGTCCATAGCACTGGGCCAGGGAGTTCACGAACTGATACGAGCTCATAATATCGTCACTTAGTCCGGGAAAATCCTCAAAAAACTCGTCGCATTATTTTTCGGAAAATAATCACACTGAGTCAGTATACTTTACGAGAGAGCACAGTTACCAATGAGTGTCGAGAACAACATCGCGATGCCAACTGAATCACGTGGATTCTTGCGGGATAGTAAAACATCAGGCAGTAGAAACACACGCGATCCCACGCTCGCAAGCGACGAAAACGGAGCTACGCTGGCTCAAACAGGATGGAAAGAGAGGGAATTATATGGGAGGGGATGGTCGGTTGACTGGCGCAGGCCGGAGGCGTGGCCAATCGGCTCGAGGGGGCGGTGCCCGCGATTCAAATTGATAATTTGTGAATTGTTTAAGATTTGATGCTCAGCTGAGCGGTCTACTGGATTCCGGTAGCCGAGCTAATGAATCAACGCACTCTCTCTCACGGAGATGATGGTTTTGCCGGCTAGATGATGATACTCGCTCGGTTTATCTTATGGCTTTAATCTTTTATAGTTTTGATGTGTGTTTGTGTCTGTGTGTGTGTGATATCTTTTTTGATTTGGTTTTGTTTTCGATTTTCTTTTCGTTTTTTTTTTATGATTGTTGTTTTTTGGTGCGGAGGAGTTTAATGTGTATGTGATGATCTAGTTGTTACGTTCATCTGTAATTAGAGGTATAATATTTTAGTTTATTATTGTTTATAAATTTTTATGTCTTCAGTTAGTATTTTTTTACCACATTTTTACAAGTCTTGAAAATCAAAATAAGTTTCTGTCTGGTTATAATAATTTAGTTTTATTATTTTTTAATTAAAAGTAGAAAATTACAGTTTATTTTTTATATCGGCTATACAGTATGTCCTCGGATTGTTTTTACAACAGAAGAAACTTTTTATATTATTGACATTTTGAGAAAATGCATTTTTTATAAGAATTTTTGCTTTGTTCTAAAATTGTTAATCCCATTTATAATTTTCCAAATTTCCATAACAAAATTTAAAAAATGAAAAAAAAAAAAAAAAAAAAACGCCTTTCTATGGTAATATAATTTTGTTTTCTTCTTTTGATAGATTGTTATTGATAAAATTTTAATTATCGTCATATTTTGCTGTTTTAAGATGTTATAGATGTACACAATTTATTTAGTTCAATAAAGTTACGGAAAGGGCATAACAGTTATCGGAAATGAAATAATTTAACAACGGCAAAATAAATAATACCTAACCATCTATGAAAGAATTAAATCTAAATTATATAACCATAGAAACGCCTTTTGATTATTAGGACTTAGAAAAATTCAACCATATTTTCATGTTGTTTTATTTTACCTAAAACGGTATGAAACTTAATAGGAATATAAACGGATTAACCATTTTGGAACAAGCAAAAATATTTATGCAGGACGCATTTTTCCTCAAAATGTCAATAATAAAAAGTTTTTTTCCCTCTTGTAAAGACAACTGGGACATACTGTATATTCAGATCAATTATTTTTTTTATTAAAACATTATTAAATATTCTATACAGTAGGTATATTCTCGGATGATCTTTACTCATGTAAAGATAAAATAAAAAGAAAAGCTCTTTTATTATTATTAAAAATTTTGCTTGTTCAAAAATGATGTTGAATGATCTTTACAGAAAATAATGAAAAAAATAAAAAAAAAAAAAAATAAAATCCTAAAAATCAAAACGCGTTTCTATGGAACCTAATACCCAATTGTTTTTATTTTTGAAAGATGTTTATTATAAATTTGGATTAAGCAGATTAGCTGTTGTTATAGTATAGTATCATTTCTTCCGATAACAAAAAACGAAATAATTTTTACTTTTATTAAGCAGTTTAGAGCTAGCAATTTTTTATAAAAATTGGATTTTTCTCATAATGTTAATAAAATATAAAATTAAAAAAGGTTTTTCTTTTTTAATGACGTTCCAGGGACATACTGTATATTTAAAGCAAATTTTTGTAACATTACGTCTAAAAGATCATTACCTACTGTCTCCTAGCTAGTAAAAATAAAAAAATATTCATAATTGAAGAATATACGATATCAGAGTATTTTTGAAAAAGACACGCATTTTCATTCTTTATTAAATTATTTTAATTGTTCTGTTTTATTTTATAAATCCAATATAAATATATTAGAAGCTTCAAGATAATAATTATAATAATTGAAATTATTTACTTTTTTCATATCAAGTCTTTTATATGAATTAAAAAATATGTTAACAAATTTCACTCATAAATATTGTTAAACAATCTCAGAATTGTACAAATTACGCAATTGTATGATCTTAATTATTAACTCATAAGAAATTATAAATTAGGATCAATTACGTGACTGACACTTCACATGCAGTGAGTTTAATATAATGAGAGTACAGTAATTTTATTCAAATATATTATAATAATGCTAAATTAAATTACAGTAGTGAATTAAAAGAAACTGAATATTTTCATGTTAGGGAAAATTTTTGTTACTGCTTCCTTTTATATCACACTCTATTTATTTTTTCTTTCTAAATTTTTTTTTTTTAAAAAAAAATTGTTACGCACTGTTAAATTTTGCGTCTAAAAGGGTACTAGGCATCACGTTGTAGTTTTTATTTCTATGAATTTGTAGATTTCCAAAAGAATTAAATATGCTTGATTTATACGAAAGTAGCGGTAGAACAAGTGTGGTGATAGTTCTCACAATTTGTGTGAGAGAATATTCAGATTGTACTTGTTGAAATTTAAATGAAAATCATTTTTACTAATTATGAACTAATTACTAACTATATTTTTGACAAATTTTCTGGTACTAAGTATTGTTGTCAACTGAGATGGAGAAGAATAACAGCTTAGCTTAGCTAATACAACAATTTTGTGTCATATGTTTATAAAAAAAATCTAAGTACCTACATTGTTATAGTTTTTTATCTTCTATGTTTTTTCTCGAGTGTCGAAGTAGCTTTTTTGAGAAAATTAAACAAAAAACATGAAAATATGATGAATTTTTTCTCTCCAAGTCCTAAAAATCAAAGGCGTTTCTATGGTAATATAATTTCGATTCATTGATAAATGGTTATTAATTTTGATTAACTCATATTTTTTTGTTGTTGTTTGGCACGCACATTTTTCGATAACTATGATCACCCTTTCCGTAGCATTGAACTAACTAAATTTTTGTTTCTTAACATTTTAAAACAACAAAAAAAAAAAAACGTGTTAATTAAAATTTATCAATAACATCTATCGAGTTATGAAAACGATATTATATTACCATAGAAACACGTTTTGATTTTTAGCATTATAAATATTCAACTATATTTTCATAAGGTATGGAAATTTGTAATAATAAACGGTATTAACATTTTTTCTCAAAATGTCAATAAAAAAGTTTTTCTTCTGTAAAGACAACTGGGATTAAAACCAGCAATACTTCGAATATTAAAATAAACTCACCTACCTACACGTATTTAAGTTTGATATACTTGAATTGTGAAGATATTTCCAAAAATAAATAATTATTGATAATATGTAAACTCTTAGATAAATATGCGTAATTAATTTAAACTACATTCACGTTTATTTGCCGTACGTAATATAAATTGACTGATAATTTAATTTTTAATTGCAGGGTATTAAATATATTGATACATATTTTAACAAGTTCATTAGTCGGCGATAGCTGCTATTAAGTTATATTGATTTCGATTTTTAATTGTTTGACATAACATTATATATTTTGTTATATATTTTAATATTCGTGAAAGTATTATTTAAAAGCATTTAGGTAGATTAGTATTATTTAAATTTGTCTAGAATTAAGTACTGTATTAAATATACTTTAATCAAGAATAAAAATTTAAAATTTTTAATAAAACATTTTTGTTTCGATTTTTCTAATTAGGAAACTTTTTTATTGAATTTCGGAAAGTATACTATATTTAATATAAATTGTATTATTTATTGAGGACAAATAGTTTTCCAAAAACCTAGTATATTCAAAAACAAATCGAAAATAATCTTTTGTAAAAAAATATCTACAGTAAGCCCCGAATCTTTTACAAGAGGAAAAAATAATTTTTTCTACAAACGTCAGTAAAAATGTAATTTTTGAACGCATGCTATCAGTGCCTAAAATGTGACATTATGTCACTGGTGCTAAAGCAAGTCACGTGATTTACTTTCAACACTGAAGCGATAATTGAAAAAAAAAGAAATCCTATTGATTCTTTATTATCCAGACTTGCTGAATGAAATGAATCAACAGTAATTCTATTAGCCGCTTCTTCAATTTCTGCTGGGAAACACTCAGTTTCTTGATCACTTTTCATCATTTTACAAGAGTTGAGGCACAAATTTGACATTAGTTGACAACAAATGATCGAATGTTTGGAATCTTTCAATTACCCTAGCAACCATAAACTTAATTAATTTGGATTTCAGAATGACATGTTATGAATTATTCATTAACGTAAAAAGTAATAATACCTTGATATTTGATATATACGAGCATAAACTTGTTTGTAGAAAAATAGTGTGTGATATGTGTGCTAAAAGTGATTTAATTTTGCTGCTTCCCTTCTTACAAAATAAAACAACTAAATAAAAAAAATATCATAAATAACTATTATTATTATCTTTGAGAAAAATGTATTCTTTTAAACGTTTTTGCTTTTTCTATAATAGGTAATTCGGTTTAAACTGTTCAAAATTTTCATTTTTTCATATTTTTTCTTCAGATCCAGAAGTCAAAAAAAAAAGATTTCTATGGTAACATCGTTCACTTGATCTGTGTATGCTGAATACTAATGTCAAATTTCAACAATTTGTTGTTTTATTTTACGTTGTCATTAAATGTTAGTGGTTATTAAAATTGTTATAAAATAAATATTTTAATAAAAAATAGATAAGTTATAATAATTATCAGATCTGCTACTTACTGAACGACGCGAATTCACGTACCTAATTTATACTAAGTGACATTAAAAATAGAACACTCACTAAAAATTGTTTAATTTTAATAATCTTTTGTACATGAATGTAGGTTGACAAAAGGCGTAAATGATCAAAATTTGGAGTGAAAATATTTGCTCGTTACCTTGTCCTTGTTAATAATGTGCTGGACCACCTCGATGTTCTATACATTCGCTG